TCTGAGGCTACTTCCCTGTCCTAGCCCAAAGTCATCTTCATGCCTGAAGCCTACTTCATTGTTCTAGCCTAAGATTTATATTCCTGCCTGAAATTATTTCTTTGTTCTAGCCTAAGATTTAGATTCCTGCCTGAAGCCCATTTCCTTGTCCTTGGCCAATGTCAGATTCCTGCCAAGCAGCCCCAAAAGCTCTCTACGTTTCCCCCTTTTTAATTGCATAAATAATACTGAGCCTGTTTTAGGTCATTCTGACAAGAATGCCTTCCTTACCCATAGTGGAATATGCATTATCAAAAGCAATGCATTTATGTCTTAGGTTGGTAAGGCTCTGTGCAGAATCTTACCCGTCCTTGGCTTGCCAGTCTGTTAAATTAGTAACTCTGTCTGGGGGTCCATCTTCAGTTTAAAGTCATGTACTTTGGCTGCCAACATGTTGATGTTGTTAAAGACAAACTTTCACACGATGGACAGGAATAAAAGTATTCCCAGGACAAAAAGGGCTAGCGTGATCAAGCTATATATGCCATTCTTTTTTTTTTTTTTAAAGATTTATTTATTTATTACGTATGAATACACTGTAGCTATCTTCAGACACACCAGAAGAGGGCATCAGATCTCATTACAGATGGTTGTGAGCCACCATGTGGTTGCTGGGATTTGAACTCAGGACCTCTGGAAGTACAGTCAGCGCTCTTAACCACTGAGCCATCTCTCCAGCCCCGTATATATGCCATTCTTGACACTTAACCAAAATGGAAATACTGACCTCAGGCCATGGATAATTTTATCGGCATTATCTGCAGCATCAAAGCTCAACAGAGCAGCATTCTTTAAATTAATAATCTCACTATGCAAAGTTAAAACATCCAGAGAGGTGTTAGAATTATGCCAAATACCCTGCAAGTATCTTTAAACTTTTTCCTAATTATAGTGACTATCATTGTAAATTTTAGAAGTAACACAACTTCACTGGTATTTGGTATGACCCTCGAGATGTCCCTTAACTCTTAAACCCTGAACCTCCTTCCAATAATTTGAATAGGATAAAGAACATCAATCTGTTCTTCCAATGTTAATCTAAATCCTCTTGTATACTCAACACATTAGTAACATTTTTTTTGCTAATTGATTAACAAATTAGCTGTCTTAACTTCTTGTGTCAAAGCAATTGCAGAAGCAGTGGTGCTAGCAATTAATGTAATTAAAGCTGTTATACCAGCAATAATCAAGCCCACTACCCTCTTGCTTCTGCTTGAAGCCTAACTCACTTCTTCCAGTACTTGCAAGCTTTTTTTCCCCCCAGAAAACCAAGGTTCTGTAATACTCAGGGCAATAAGACAAAAGCTGGTTGTTAGACCCCTGTAACAGATGTGCCAGGTTTCAACACACTAACACAATTAGAAAGAGTACAATCAATGCAACTTACAATAAATACTGTAGAAGAAACAAAAGTAATTTTAACTCGACAATTTAAAGAGCCTTAACACATGTACTAACACTTGTTTGAAATCCAGATCCTACCCCAGCTTTATCTCTTGCTATATAATATCATAGAGAACTGCAGCTAACTTCCAAATGTGTCTCTGAAAATGTCCAGAACCAGCCTTCCAAATGAAGACTGTTATATCCAATATTGGATTGATTTCTAGACCAGTACATGATTGAGTCTGAAAAACTGGTTACATTTAAGAAAAATACAAGAGTCGTTATAACTTTTCTTTTTGATTCTCTATCCCACAAGGTCTAAAAACTTGAGGCAAGGGAGCTTGTCCCATCTGGGATATAGGCAAGCAAAGGTGGATCAGGAACATATGTCCAATACAGCTCCCCAGTCACCATTGTCAGGGCACTCAGCGAGCTCACAGGTCAGCATCATCCTTTGTCCCAGCATCGGCATGTCATACCAATCTCCCTGGCAGCCACCATGCTCCTTTAGCATTCTGCAGAAGAAAGAAAAACACAAACATGCCCTCATCCCCGTATTATATACCTATGACCCTGGACATGTTAGAGCTCCTAGGAGTCCAGCCTCCTCTGGGTTTTGTGGGATTGGGTGCAGAGTTGATGCTCCAGGTTTGCTCTGTGCACCAGTGAAGACCGGAAGACAAGGCCAAACCTCCTAATCATGCCACTCCCTATGAGGCTATGGGGGCCATTTTGATTCAAACCACCACACTTATTCTGCTTTCTTAAATAACCTAGGACCACCTGCCCAGGGATGGCACCACCTATCTCAATCACCACTCAAGAAAATGCCCTACGGACCTGCCTACTGGCCAATCTGATGGAGGCATTTTCTCAGTTAAGGGTTCCTTCTTTTCTGGAGAATACCTCTAGCTTTTATCAAGCTGACAAAACAAAACAGAATGGAACGGAACAGAACAGAACAAGAGCAAGCAGCTCCCCTTTCTTCCAATAGCTCCTGACCTACTTTTGTGTACTTTTTTTCCTTTTTGTGACCCACTGAGTTTAAAACGTGTGTGTGTGTTGGGGGGGTGGTTATTACTAGAGCATGGGCAAATTATCAGTGGGTACCTCACTGAAATAAACAACACCTCCTCCTCCAGAAGCTGCCAGGGAAGGGCGGGGCCTCCTGAGCCCCTCCCGATCCGTGATGAAGCGTTGATGGGCTCTGTGTGCTGTCACTATAGCAGCTGCTGGTTCGTGGCTGTATGACAATGTCCAGAAGACCTTCCCCCTCGCCCCGCCCTGTCCCCGCCTCTGCTCCGCCTCTTCCCGCCCCTCCCCACCCCCGCCCCGCCCCGCCCCTGCCCCGCCCCCCCGCCCTCCTCCCCACCTTCTGGCTCTTACACTTTTTCCATTCCTTGTTTCTGTGGCGCTGGTGCTTACTGTCGTAAACACCACAAAACAGTGTGCTGGTTAGAGTCACCGCAAAGCACCAACTCTCTCCTCTTTCTGTGGCCATGTTCCGCCTGAGAGAACGGCTTCACCTGTAAAGACAGTCCGTTAGTGTACATCCAGCAAACATGATCTTGGCTTCCAAACTGTTGCATGGAGAGAGCAGAAACTTAAGTCCATGAAATGAGAGGTTCTATTCTCACGCATATTAATCATTCCACCACACTGAAACTTTTCATGGTTATTTGTGACCCCATGGATGCGTGCCAAGCTCTTTGATTTTCCTGTCTCAGGTAAATGCCATAGCCTTCCACTGGTTTTCTGAATAACAAGCAAGGATGCATAGGGCGAACATTAGTGCCTGAAATTGCCTCTCGTACTGAATGGAAAGAAAGTACACTCCGGGCTTGAAGGCTTAGCATAGCTGGGCCTTCTGTAAATATTTAGTATTTAATACACGACTCAAATCAAGAGGTTTACAGCGGCCCTTCAAATTGTTCAGTGGTGAAATGGTCCCCACCATGGAAGGAATGTGGCGATCGATGGACTGATCACCAGCCATCCTCGGCAGAGCTTCGGAGAAGGCAGCTTTCAGTCTGTGGGGAATATCAATGCTCTCCTGTACTCTCCTCTATTTGTGGTGCTTTCTAGAAATGGGGCTGGTGTCGGAAGGCCAGTTCCCCCAGACCTCAATGCAAGTCAGAGTTGAACTTCCCAGCTAGCAAGTGGGCATGGAAAGTCAGAATCTTTTCTTGTAGAGTTGAAATCAGCCACAAAACCATGCCATTTCTAGCCACGTCTTATATGCTGCTGTGTCTGGGAGGTTCTGGTGTTTCTTGTGTTTTCTTTCTTGTGAAGCCTTTATTCATCTGGAATGGAAGAGGGGTGTGCTGAGAACTGGCACAGGCACCTCTGCTGTCTCAGAGGCAGGGAGGGTACAGGCATCCAAACCTCTGTTCGTGCTGTCAGTCATGTTGTCCCTGTGTTCTCGCTTGAGTGACAGCAGACAGGGAGACAGATGTCTCTGTGGTACCAGTCTATTTGTCAGAGTTATCCAGAGATGGAACTGACTGTGCGTGCTTGTGTGTGTGTGTGTGTGTGTGTGTGTGTGTGTGCACGTGTACATATCTGTATGTTAACACTTCACTCTTTCAGCTAGCTACACTCTCTCCCAGTTCTTTCTCCCGCCCCCGAGAAAGAGCACTGTGTCTTACTACGTTTTTGTTTCTCTTAGCAACGTTTTGCTCCTAGATCACCAGCCTGCATCTGCTGAACAGAACTGCCAAGAGTCTGATATTAAATCCCCTGTATCCTATGAGGAACCAGGAATAAGATTATAGGATTACAGGGGATTAAGATTATGATGACAAGATTACCGGGGTTATTTTTTTTTTTAATGGCTACAGAATTTCCACATTCAATATGAAAAGAGTCCCTGGGACGGGTGGTGATAAGGGTCACACAACGACACGAATGAGCGTAGGCCCACTGAGCTGTATACTTAAACATGGCCCCTGTGGTTAGGTTTTATGCTGTGTGTATTATCCTACAATTCAACAGTGATTACAAGGCTTGCTAGGCCATTCTTTCTCATTTGGTCCAACAATAAGCAGCCGTTATTCCATCAGCTCTATATATTGTTCCTTTTGTGAGAACATCCCTCTTACCCTGTGACTGAGCATGTGTGTGTGTGTGACAGAGATAGAGACAGAGACACAGAGACACAGAGAGATAGAGACACAGAGACAGAGAGACAGAGAGAGAGAGCACGGAGCAACCATCTAGTAGAGAGAGCTGACTAATACAAAGTCACAGGCAAGAATGAACAGCATGTGATACAGAGCAGGGGCGGGTAGTAGCTGAACAAGGAACGCTTGGGTGTCTAAAGCGCAGATCAATTTGGCATTTGTTTTGCATCTAGATAACTAGGAACTCTGTGGAATGTTATTGGAGCAAGACATGATTTTCTCTGTTTTGGATTCCCAAAGATTCACCATAGGAGTCTCCATTGGCCAAGCACGGAGCCAGACCGTGACGCGACCGCGGGGAGCCTTCAAAGCCTGTTGTTCCAGTTGCCCTTCATTTCTGGGAAGTGGGTGAGCAGGTGGCTGCCAAGGCTCACTCCAGTGTCTCTTTCCCAGGATAAAGGGAAGCGGAGGTCTGCTGCTCACCAGGAGAATAGAAGACCTGTGGGAGCTGCAGCCATCTTTTGATATCGTCGTCAATTGCTCAGGCCTGGGAAGCCGACGCCTTGTAGGAGACCCCTTGATTTCCCCGGTAAGGGGTCAAGTGCTCCAGGCGCAGGCCCCCTGGGTGAAGCATTTCATCCGAGACGGGGGCGGACTGACTTACGTTTACCCTGGTACGTCCTATGTAACCCTGGGAGGAACTAGACAGGAAGGAGACTGGAATCTATCTCCAGATGCAGAACTCAGCAGAGAGATTTTTTCTCGTTGCTGCGCTCTCGAGCCTTCCCTCCACAGAGCCCGTGACATAAAAGAGAAAGTGGGCCTGCGTCCCAGCAGGCCCGGTGTTCGGCTGCAGAAGGAGACCCTGGTCCGGGGGGACCAGAGGCTGCCTGTGGTCCACAACTACGGCCATGGCAGTGGGGGCATCTCAGTGCACTGGGGCTCCGCGCTGGAAGCCACCAGGCTGGTGATGGAATGTATCCATACCCTCAGGACCCCAGCTTCCATGTCAAAGCTGTAGCTGACACCAAGTGACAGCAAATAATCCAGGTGATATGGGTCAAAGCACAATTTAAGGCCCGTAATCGGGTCTCATAACTTTCCCACTGCTTGAAGGTTGAGTCTGACCTTCTTTGCTTCCAAAATTAGAAATTACGCAATGCGTATCAGTAGGCTTAGAAAGCTCGCCAGGAATGACACAGGGAACAAAGTTCCATTTTTGTCAAAATACGTGCTATTTAAAAATACTTGTGCTATAGGGTAAGACGTGGGGAGGATTGAACACTAGTTTATATGAATGATGTAAGCGATAGAGGTTTTTGTGTCTTTGGCTCAGAGGCACGTAAGCACATAAGAGGAGATTAATGTGTGGGAAATACTTGATTCCCTGTCTGTCGTCGAGCTGTGCACGATCCTCTCAGGTCATAGAGCCAACCAAGACGTGTTATCATCTCACTAGATAGGACCACGAAGTGCTGACACACCCCCCAACCCTCCTCCTGAGCGTAGGCGGCAGCCGCTTCCTCCAGCAGGTAACAATGGAAGCTGACAGAGGTGGAGTTGCCTGCGAAGGCTGTGCCGGTTTTGGAGCAGCTTTGTGTCTGTCACTGCATGTTTTGTTGTTTCTGGGACCAAACACCCAACAGAAAGAACCTAAAGAATTAATTTGCTCATAGTTGCTGCCCGTCGCGCCAGGGAGGGCCTTGTAGAACAGAGCTGTTCTACAAGGTAACTCATGTCTGTAAGAAAGCAGTGTGAAGAGGAACCGGGGCGGATGGGGTGAGATACGGGGTCCAAGCACTCATTCCGTTATCTGCTCCCCCATACAACTCTCCTCCTATACCTCTGCTTTCTCCCAATGGTTCATTTAATTCTTGAATCTTTCCAAGGATTAAGTCATCGATTAGGTCATGCATATCTAGAAACACCTTCAGCCCCACCCAAAGGCGTGCTTTAGGACTCTCTTAAGCAGTCCCCCATCTTGTCAGGCTGCCCATAGGGATTTACCATAGCAACCACGGAGGCTACATACTCCCTTTCCACAAACGACCCAGAACCGCTGACCGAGCAGTGGACGGACACTGTTGAAGATGGAGTCGTCTACGCAACCAAGGAGCTAATTTGCTAATGGAGACGGAACAATAACTTTAAATGGCATACGACACAAAGTGTTCTTCATGTCAAACAGTGTTGGGGAGGATAATGAAAGTCTGAGAATTGCTGAGTTGAGTAATCTAACCTGGCCCCCTAACTTAGGTCTATTCAGAGCTCTTAACCTCCTTGTACACTGTGGAACCTCGGGAGGGTTTTTGGCCCCGGGGAAGATTATTCGTTGAGGAAAGCAATCCTGGGGCAGAGATGTCATTAAACTTTGGAGAGAGGTACTTTTTGTTTGTGAATAATAAAGTCTGTTTTGAGCCTCCTAGGAGGTATGGGATTGGCCAAAACCACAGGGACAGGGCTGGAGAGACAGCTCAACAGTTAAGATTGCTTGTTGCTCTTCCAGAGGAGAGAGTTTGTTTCCTAGTGCCTGTGAGGTACCTACAACCTCCTGTTACTACAGCTTCAAGGTTTCCAGTACCCTCTTCTGGCCTTTGGAGGTACACACACACATACACACACACACACACACACACACACACACACACTCAAATAAATCTTTAAAAATATTTTTAAACGTATGGGTGAGAAGTTTGCCTTTGCTTTTTTGTTGAGGTTTTGTGTGTGATTTTGTTTGAAGAGAGCCCTGGGCTGGGGCTTCAGACAAAACAATGTTTAACGGACTACTAAAATTCTTGCTAAATCAAGCAGGCTCATTTCTATTAATTTCCACCAGGGGGTGGTGTTGTATAAATCTCAAGTAAACCAGAGCCTTTGAAAATTTAGAAATGATAAGAAATAAAAAGTAGATAAGGAAGTGTGTGGCGTGTATGAGGTTTTTTTTTCTCTCCTCCTCCTCCTCCTCCTCCTCCTCCTCCTCCTCCTCCTCCTCCTCTTCCTCCTCTTCCTCCTTCTCTTTTTCTTCCTCCTTGTCCTCTTCCTCCTTTTTCTTTTTGATGTGGAGACTTGAGTTTCTATGGCCAAAATCCAACTCTTCCGGATTCCATTTCAAGTAGGCAAGAAATGCATGTGCTTACTTCGAGAACATGCGTATCACATGGGAAATGTAGCACGAAAAACTGGTGTTTTAAGATGACAAGATAACCTTTTGTTGGTTAAAAACAAAAATGAAGGGTGCGGCTCAGCACAGCGGGAGTCCTGTCCTTCACCCGGGCATTCACATTTTTTTTTCATACATTCTATTTGATCATGTTTCCCCTCCCCCAGGCATCCCCAGACTCTCCTCACTTTCCTCCCCACACACCTTTATGCTCTCTCTTAAGAAACAAAACACCCACAAGAACTCAAAAATGAAAAAATTTAACCCCCAAACCCCCAACAAAACAAGAAAATACTAAAAGAAATGGACGAAAACAAAAATCCCATTTTTAAAAAAAAGTAACCCAAGCAAAACTCCAAGCCGTGGAATTCGTTTTGCGTTGGCCAGCTACGCCTTGGCTTGCCGTGGAGTGTGGTTGACACGCCCAGTGCCACTCCAATGCAGAAAACTGACTTTCCTTTGGCGTCAGGTGTCAGTTGTAAATGGCACCTTGGCTAGGGGTGGGGACCTGGGTCTACAGCCCTCTCAGTGCTGGGACCCCACGTGGCTTGTGTTTTAAGCGCCCTCATCCGGTTCCCGCACCCCGCACCCCGTCGATGCCTCGGCCTCCGCATTTTGCGTCTTGTGTCTCCTACGCTCCACGACCTTTCCCTGTTTGCCATTCCGGCTTAGCCTCACACCCTTTTTATATCTCTAAAGCTGCATGCTGTAGGACTGGGAGCTCCGAGGCTCCCTGGCTACCTGCCCCATCTCACTGCCACTAATTGCTAAGGGCTTCCTTGGTATTTCTCAAAGGATATTATTCACGTTGGTCATGAGCTGCTGATCTGGGCTGCATCTTAAAATGACATGGGGAGTTGGGGGTGGGGTTCCTGATGCTTAGCCTTGCTCTGTTACAGCAGAATCTTTAAGACATGAGTGGGGCTGGGGGAGGGGGAGGTGCTCCGGCATTAGTATGTGTTTAGAGCTGTCCACTGGGCTCTGAGCCTTGGCTGGGTATCAGGGCACTGCCTCTTTTTCCCTTAGAACTCTTGCTGCTGCTCTAACCCTTGCCTTCCCTTTCTCCCTTGTCGCCATGTCGCAGAGCTAGCAGAGTGTGCTGGCTTCAGCAGTACCTCCTCATGCACTCTGTTTGGATAAGGTGGCCTATGAGAATTAGTGGTCTCCCATAATGGCTCTCAAGAAATGCTGGAAATTACATCGCCAGCTAGAGGTTAGCTGCTGACAGACAGCTGCCTGTCTGAAAGATGAGCGACAGAATACACACACGGACAACAACAACAACCTGCGAGTAAGACAATAGAGCCCTGAGCCATGGCCTGCAGCTCTCTGACCAGGAAGCTATCTCCTTACCTACAAGATGCAGCACAGGCCAGCAGCCTGCTGTGTGTCAGGCTTGCAGGGCTTCACTCTAGAAACCTGAACAATCACTTCTGTAAGGATCGATGCAAAACACTCAGGGCATGATTGATAACCAAGATCTCCCTTAATTTTGTTTCTCCTTCTAACTTTAGATCAACCCAAGAATCAAAATATGAACTGCCGTCCAGTGACAGAGGGTGGCTTGCCTTCGTGGACCTGCTTGCTGTTCTCCATGTGGAAGGAAGGTCTCCAATCAGGACATTACTGACGCCTTCTGCCTTTTCATTCCAAAGCTTTCCGACTCCTCTGCCTCCTTTGAGTACCTGCCAAATTCAAGGGATTCAGGCCGACTCCCACACGAGCACTGAAGAGCTAGCCCTCACTTTTCTTTTGGCTAGTGTATTAGTCAGCATTATTCAGAGAATTAAAGCCAAGATATAGCTATATAGAGATTTATCACAAGGGGCAGGTCAGATCACGTGAGCATGGGGACTGAACAGATGTCTGTAAGATCTCCATTTTGCAGATGATGGAACGCTCCACCTCCATCCAGGAACGCTCCAGTGGTTCAGCTCCAGTCCAGATCTGAAGCGTGAGACCGGGGCAGCTCCAGTCTCGGTGTGAAGGCCGGGAGTGCTGAAGTCTGAGGCCAGGAGACAGCCCAGTTAGGGTAGAGAAGAGATCCATGCTTCCTTACCTTCCTTCCATCCATCCAGGCCTGCACTGGCTGGCTCATGCCACATTTCAGAATTCAGTCTGAAGTCTGTCTTCAGAGTCAGTTCATCATCTCTGGTCAGCAAAATGGCTCAGTGGATAAAAGCACTTGTCACTCAAACCTGACTGTGGGCCTGGGAACTGAGGGACAGGGAGGAGCAGGCCTGGAGCAAGAGTGGGGTCGAAGCCTGTCCAAACCCTGAAAGTGTCATCCTGAGAGCGACAGGAGTAGGATTGCTGCCTCCGGGGGGGCGCCCGCCCCAACTCCTGGGCCTGCATGTCCTGGCGTGTGTAGCCCTGTGCCCCCCATCTTTGCCCCACCAGAGGAGGTTACCTAGCCTGGCAGCCAGGTTAAACTTCCATTCTCCTTATAAGATCATGTCCAGCAGCACCTGGAATTCCTCTTCATGCAAATGAGGTATCCCTAGGATCCTGGCCCTGGCCGATGACATACACTGATCCTATAGCCCCTACCCACCCCCAAAGGTTTAAATAGCCTTTGTTACCCCAGTAAGCTGAACTAGTTCTAGAAAGCTGTTCCTGGGTGTGTGTGTTCTTTGTCTGCACACTCACAGTTGATCCTGCCTGCACATAACCGAGTCCTGCTGAGTTTCTCTTCCTCCAGATAGCCTGGTGCACAGCAGGCCTGGCTACCCTGAGGGGGAGAAGCAAACAGGGGCCACCACCCGACAACCTAAGTTCTTCTCCCAGAACCCACGGTAGAAGCAATTCAGAGGCTCATCTCTTCTGGAGACATTCCCAAACCCATGTCCACATGTGACCAGCTATTTGGTCACCGTAAACCAGGCAAGTCAGCACATGAAATAAACCATCCACAGCTGGTCTTTATTTCCATGAAGATTTCATGTTTGTGTAAGTAGGACTTTTACTAGGGAGTGCTACTGTCTGAGCATGGGCCACCTGTTTTATTTCTTTGTTTCCAATTTTGGAACATGGTTTATGAATTTTGGAGCTTTGTAGACACAGAACAACTGATTTCTCTCCTGAATCCCTGCTCTCAGGCATGGAGTCTTTGTGTCTGAGTGAGAGCCTGCTGTGCTGTGACCTGGGGACAAGGCTGCCTTGGAGACACAGTCACTCTCAGCATGCACTTCTGCGGACAAAGGTTATGTTCAGAGTTTGGGATTTTATTCACTTGGAAAGAAAAGATGTTGAACAGAAAGGCCACAGCTCAGCTGGGTAATGTATAGAAGATAAGCTATTTTTAAAATGACACCTATTTCTATTACAGAATAGACACATTAAAATGAGATCTCTCTCTCTCTCTCTCTCTCTCTCCCTCCCTCCCTCCCTCCCTCCCTCCCTCCCTCCCTCTTCCTTTCTGTTCCCCTCCCTTTCTCTTTACTTCTTTCCCCCTTTCTTTCCTTCTCCTCCCTCTCTCCCTTCTCCTCCCTCTCCCCTTCCTTTTCTTTTTTCTTTTTCTCCTGCCTTTGCCCTCAACTCTCCTCCTCCTCCTTCTCCTCCCTGTCTTCCTCGTTTTTATTGAGACAGGATATTACTCCATAGTTATGGTTGTTCTGGATCTCACCATGAAGACCAAGCTGGCCTTGCACTCACAGAGATCCTCCTGCCTCTGTCTCCCGAGTGGAGGGATTAAAGGCATGCACCACCAGCTCTTCCTTTTCTTTTTTGAAACAGGGTCTGCTGCAGCCCAGGCTGGCCAGAAACACCAATTGATATTTAAACCAAATTTTCTCAGTCAACTAATAGTTTTTAGAAATAAAGAAGACTGGTAGCATCATGCCTGCTGGTAGTTGTAGTTCTTACAATCCTGCCACAAGATCTCCTGATGTCAAACGTTTGAAATGAACGCAGCCCTTCTAGTATTTTCTCCCTCAATTTCTCTCATCCTTCTTCTTGAATGTGTGAAGGATGGACGCACATTTGAAGCCTGTTTCCTCAGGATATCACTCACTGGAGAAAAGCTGATTGAGATGTTTAAATGGTACCTTTCTTCCTGAAATATCTGAGCAGTTTGCCGCCAGCCCTGGGGGTTTTATTATCCTAAGTGACTTTGCTGTCTATAAATCACAACCCTAAGTAGCCAAAGGGAACACGTTAACCAGATCCCTTAAAAATATAACAGAGGCTTCCTGGATTGTTAGTGGAGCAATTGACTTCCTCGGCTCAGGCCGCCTGACAACCTGGAGCCAAGCTGCTCAGACACAGCCTCATCCCTCACAGCCATCCCTGGAATTGAACTTACCTCTGCATACATTTTGTGGCAACAACCCACTCCCAGTTTTGAGATGGGCCTTAGTATTCCTCTTCATTCAGATCCAGATCATCTGGCCATCACGGGCATCTTCTGAGCGCTCAGCTGGCTCTGCCCAGACCCCTCTCTGGACACCTGCGGGGCTCATCTCAGCCTCCTCACCAGTGTCCCAGGCTTTTTAGTGAGAACAAGAACATTAGATATAGGTTCAGGTGCAAGGAATAGAAAGCCCCTAAATACTTGCATAAATTAGCATGAAGGAAGCCAGGGCGTAGGCAGGTTAGGGCTGGTGTGAGGACTCTGTAATCACCAGGGACCCAAGCTCCTTGGATATGACCCTATGCTCATGACAGGAGAAACTCCAGCTAGCACACCATTTTGTCTTCTCTCAAGGAAATGTCCCAGAAGACTCACATGACATTTTGCCTCCGTGTTTTTGCATGGGATTTAGTCCCAGGATTCCACAGAGATTTGAAAGATGGTGGGAATGCAGTCTGTCAACTTGGTGGCAAGAAAAGGCCAAGTTCTCAGCTCTGCTTAAAGTACTAAACTATACATCAAGCTTCACCAGCTAGAGTAAGAACTTGCCCTAAGTGGGCTGGAGAGATGGCTCAGCAGCTAAGAGCACTGGCTGCTCTTTTAGAGGTCCAGGGTTAGGGTCACAACACCCACAAGGTGCTCCCTGCCATCTACAACTTCAGTTACATGAAACCTAACATCCTCTTCTGGCCTGATGGGCATCGGATACACAGGTGGTGAACAGACATACGTGTAGGTAAAACATCCATACAAATAAAATGATAATAAAAATGTGTCCTAAGGGATTTTGTAATGATTTCCAAGTGACTCTGAGTTCTAGAAACATGTAGACTATAACCGACAACGAGATTATTCAGATTTATGTGGAGGAAATCAGGCAAGAGAGAAGAAGCCAAGATGGAAGAGATGGAAGATTGACAAGGGGCCATGTGGGTCTGAGGATGTATCAAGAGTGGCTTCAGATCCTGACCCCTTGTGAAGTCTGAAAATGCACAGTCAATTCTATGTTTCGCAGAAACTTTACATCAGAAAATAAAGGGAAAGAGAGTAGAGGAGAAAAGAGGAGGAAGAAGAGGAAGAAGAGGAAGAAGAGAAGGAGGAAGAGGAAGAAGAGGAAGAGGAGAAGGAGGAAGAAGAGGAAGAGGAGGAGGAAGAAGAGGAGGAAGAGGAGGAAGAAGAGGAGGA